CTCTATCTCTATCTCTATCTCTATCTCTATCTCTATCCATCCATCCATCCATCCATCCATCCATCCATCCATCCATCCATCCATCCATCCACATGCATACATACATACATAGAAACATTATGTATATACCCATAAGCTATGAATTCTAATTCTGCATCAGGCAACAACCATTTTTAACACTATTTAGTTATGTTTAGATATATCTTCACCCTAAGTAATGGCCATATTTGAGTAGCCCCACACATATGAGAACACCAGGTTTCTTGCCCCTGGTTGAATTACATCCGTCTTAAAAGAGCTATGGAGACTGATAATACCCCAAAGATATTTACATCTAAGTACTACAAAAGCAGACCTATTCTCTCAGCATAGAATCTGAGAGAATGTAATTCACTTATAATCACTGTTATCTCTGAACTCTTTTATTACTGATTTGGCAAAGTAAGAATACTTTCTAAAGGAATTTCCACCATGCAAAAAATTATGTAAAATCATTCTTTGGGAAGCTCACTTGTTACCAGTAAAAGTATTCAGAAGAAATTGCTATAATCTACTATTAAATCAGTAGGAAGTAAATTCCAAAAACAGACTGCATTTACCTGTTGATTTCCTCCTAACATAGGGTTGGTATTAAATTTCAGTTGCAAAGATATAATAATGTGCCAGAATGCCTGCCATATAATATCTGAGCCAGACTATCTTTATTTTCCAAGTCAGTTGTAACTGGATCAGAATTCAAGGATTGAACATCTGTTATAATGACTACAGGCAGTGCCTAGAACATTTAGTGCTACCAATAAATGAGCTGAAAAAAATGGAATAATCATTATATGCTCCTGGTGAGGATTTGTTTTGGTTTTTTACTGAATACAATTCAGTTTTTCTTTGAAATGCATATTAAAGTTAATTGACTATTTTATATTTCTATCTTGCAATTCCGATATAAGTTTTGGCATACAGTAAACAAAGGTTAGTAATTAAAGTTTATTTCATTAGAAAATGAAAAGCAAATGCAAGTTTCTTGAGCTTCAGTAAATCTATCATAGCTTTCCCCAGTGAAAGAAGGAGGTACAGAAGGATTAATCTGGCCCATATTCACTTCCAAAATCTTAACCAAAAGCAAAAATTAACCACTTTGATGGGTATTATATGGTTGCCAATTTGCTTCCAAGTGCAATTCAAGGTGCTGGTTGCTACCTATAAAGCCCTAAATGGCATGGAGACTGATTACTCCCATAGTATCTGCATAGTCCATTTGATCTGGCAGGGTTGGCATGCTCCAGGTTCCATCGATTAAACAGTGCCATCTTTCAGGAGCCCAGAAACACGCCTTCTCTGTAGCAGCATCTGCCCTCTGGAATGAGGTTCCCACCCAAATTCAAATGCCCCCCCCCAATGGTATTTCAAAGGGCCCTGAAGATGCAGCTGTTCACCCACGCCTTTGGCAAGCACGACTGATGCTCCTTTTCTTCCTTTTCCTTGTTCCTATCCAGGTTTGTTTTCTCTACCATCTCTGTTCCTTTATTGTGTGTTGTTTTGTGTTTTTAAATGTTTTTAACGATTTGTAAACCGCCCACAGGGAGTCAGGTGGCATGTACATTTAACGAATTGTTATTAACATATATTTATGTTTCTGTTAATGTTTGTATAGGGGCCATGGGGATGGAATAATGGCCTGGCAAAGGCAGATAATTAGAAATGGTTTGGTTTCTTACCATTGTTTTTTAATTAGGCTCTGGGAAAAAGGTTAGTTGAGGTGTCTACCCCATCTAATTATCCACTTTTTATTCTTCCATTTCTCCATGGTACTGTGCAAGTATGTTGACATTAATTAATATACTTTTGTAGAAAACAAGTAAAATTATGTATCTGGCATACGCTCCTTTGTTCTATCTTTGTTCTCACTTCCTTCATCATTTAATACCTTTGCATAATATGAATCTTCAGTTCTAGACACCGAGTCTTCCTATTATGTAACATTGCTGCCTATGAACCAGCAAAAAATCTGTTCAATCCAAATCTAATTCCCACTTGCACAACATGCATTTAATACACACACACATAAATATTTGCAAAGTCAAAGTCAGCTTCAGATGATCTTTTAGGGTACTTTACCTGACCACAGGCATATTAATGAAGTGTCATTAAAGTATGTATTTGTATAGAAAAGCACTTGGTCAGTTTAAGCCCCAAAGCAGGTAAACTCATTAAAAATACAATATAATTATTTTTCAACCTCATTCTTAGCTGCAAGTTGCTTAGACAATATACAATTTAAAAAATCAATTCATAAAATCAAGAAACATCATTTAAAAAAATAGAACATTTGACAGCCACATTAAAATTAAAAAGGGACAAAATATTACACAACCCCAGTGGACTGACGCATCTAACATTGGCAGATAACTTCAAATCCTCTTGGGAAATAGTTATTCAAAAGAAATGGAGTCTCTATGGTTTCTCCAGTGATGCCATCTTAACCTTAGAGTCAGATCAAGCTAGATCAATGTTAAGGCAAAGGATCTTAGATATACAGTAGAAGGCCAAACAGAAACTGCTGCATTTTCTCATAATATAATTGCTAATATAATCTTAGCACCCAAACCAGTTTTGTATTTATATCATATTACAAATTCAGGAGAGCCTTCTCTCTAGCCTGATTTAATGCTCTCCCCACAGACGTTTTGGAAGGGAAATATAGGAAAACCCCATACAAAACGCAATATTGCCTGTGTGACATAGAGTGCCACAGAAACCACGGCTCATGTTCTTCTGTATTGTCAGTTCCACAGGGACATTCATCACCACTTGATTACCACCCTTTAATTTAAATTTCCAGGGCACTCTGCTAATTTTTATTTGCATTATCTGTTAAGCAACTAAGATAAATTTATTTCTCTAAAAGTAGCATAATTCTGCTATATTATGTGTAAGCTTTGCCCACAAATGGTTGCCAATGGTTATTGATGTTAGGAGATAATTCTGCTTTGTTTGTTTTATAGAATGTATTTTTATTGGTCAATGACCAAAATAAAGTCTCTGCCTGTCTGTCAATATTACACAGCCTTAAAAGCCTAATTACAACAGAGTAATGAAGAGCAGTTTCTAGGGTGAGATTTCCCAGTCTTGAATACCCACTAAGCTAGTCTTCATGAATGGTAGAACATGAGTGACAATAAATTAGACAGTAGTTCACAAATAATGGAAGTTGTCACTCAGGTATTCCAGCCACAAATAGTTTAGGGACTGAGCAGCAAAACCAGCAGTTTGAAAGCATCCAAACTAGGAATCGCTTACTGTAGTGTGCTATATAAATTAAATGCCTGACCAAAATCTAGTTATCATTTAGCACAAATATAGCTACCTAGAGAATGTGGGGTTTTGTTTGTTCAATAGAAGAGAATTTTGTTTGTTTGTTTTTGTGCCTTCAAGTCAGTGTTGACTCCTGGAGAAGTCTCTGCAGTATTTTTGGCAAGATTTTTTTGGAAGTAGTTTGCCATTGCCTCCTTCCTACGGCTGAGAGAAAGTGACTGGCCCAAGGTCATCCAGATGGCTTCATGTCCAAGGCAGGACTAGAATTCACAGTCTTCTGGTTTCTAGCCTGATGCCTTAACCACTACATCAGACTGGCTCTTTAGAGAGTGCTACATTAAGCCACAGTGGCCAATGTTTTGATGGCCTGGAGCAGCCCTTAATGTTGTATGGAGGATACCAGGTATAGTTGCTGGCACAATGTCCTGAAAAGGACAATTATACCCTGCCCCCCGAACAAATGCTCACACTATTTTAACTTTAGAAGTATCCCAGACAATTTTGGGGAAATTCCACTGATTAATTTTGAAGAGAATTCCAGGGATGATACAAAAAGAAATCTGGGAGCCACACATGACCCTTGGGCTGCAACTTGCCCGCATCTAAGAAGGCTAAGCAGAATCCAGGCTTGAGAATTTATGCAGTTTTTTGTTGTAAGAACTCTGATTTAGCTTTTAAAATGAACATTCCCTGATGAACTTTCCAGCTGTTCCAACATTTTGAAACAGCTCATAAACCAGAGAAATGGGAAGGGCCCAGCCCTTAGAGTTTGACACTCTTTAGACTATCCATGCTAATGCTGTTCAGGCATGAGATTTGTTTGTGCGCATAGTTTGTTTCTTAAAGTATTGCATGTGAATGAGTCTGCCAATTTCTTAAGTAAATGCCAACCATGTGGTATTACTTGAGATTGCTTTGACCATGAGAACATGATCAATGCACATTTACTGCTGTAAAAATGCTGATGCTTGTAGAAATGCATTCATATACTTTAAAGAACATGCATACTGTATGTACCTTAAGGGCCTTTAGTGTTATGAACTTCAGTAGCCCTATGCACAGATTAAGAATTTTCATCTGACTATAATGTCCCTTTATTTAAAGATTTGTCAGTTCCTTTCTGTCCTTTCCCTTTTGGAGGCCTCTTCTGTTTTGCTGGTATGAGTCAGCAATTGCAAAAATAGATCAAAGACTACTGTCTCAGATACCAAGGCACTTCCTCAATATCAGGGGGCGGGGGGGGGGGGATAGGAAAGCATTATTCCAGATGCTACCTTGTAGTTATGGCTTGTGAATAATCACTGCTCCTTATCACGGTAAAACTTTAGAGAGAGGGGGGGGGGGGGGGGGGGGGATAGGAAAGCATTATTCCAGATGCTACCTTGTAGTTATGGCTTGTGAATAATCACTGCTCATTATCACGGTAAAACTTTAGACAGAATAAAAATATAACAAGTCTATATTTTAAATCTATATTTTACATCTGCTAAATTGAAAATGGAAATCTGTATGGTATAGTGATTAAGTGCTGGACTAGTCCCTCCTAGGATTGAGATGCAATAAGTTAGAAAGTACATTAATGAATATTCTTTGGTTATTTCTAATGGTAGTTCCTTGTTGGTTAGACATATGACTATGTATAAACCAATTTCCAACTTTTTTTTGAAAAAGTTAAGGTTTACAGATGTTATTGTGTTATGAAGCTATTTTCCCCAAATTTAGAAGAGATTTGGCTACCTGGAATGTTACAAAAAGGCGACTGCTTTTGCAGAAGGGTATGTGAGTACCAGATTCTAAAGGATGGCTTAAATGCAGTAATCTGGACATTGATTTTTTTGATATTATTGATGTTAATATGTATAATTCATAAAATAGCTAATTTAGCTCCTGCACACCATCTGTTGGCAATTGTTAAAATCAATCCCCATAGTGAATAAACTGGATACTTCACTACATATGTCACAAATTAACCTTGAGATAATTTGAAAATATATGGCCTAGATTTTTAAAATTCAGATTATGTATGTATGTATGTATGTATGTCAACTTACCTGAGACTGGGCGTTAATATTAGCTCCTTCTTTAACTAGAACTTTGACCACTTCAGCCTGTCCCGCCAAGGAAGCAATATGTAGCGCAGTATTTCCCTTCTGCTTTGCACAAAATAAAAATGCATATATTAATTTAAATTGTATCTAGAATTAAGAGCAATATATAATAAATCACAATAATAAAATTATGAACTAAACATTGAAATTGCTCCATTAGGAAATGTTCAATATCTTCCATTTCCTTTACAAGCTGACTTAAAATTAAGACTATCCAAAGACTTTTACAGGAAAGTAATAGTCTTTTTTAAAAATTTTAAAAATCAGTATTGTTAATAGGCATTTTTCATTAGGAAGTACCATAATTTAGTAAGCCATTTACTAAAATAGTTGTTTCTAATTGTGAAATTCTGTCAGCAACATGAGCACTGAAATTTATTAATGCATACCAGTTCCTAATAAATAAGAAAAACTGAGCATGTCTGCTGAAAGAACACTATTTTCATCTAATCCATAATGAAAGAAATTATTAAATTAATTAAAAATTTGTTGTTGGCTTATTAGGCAATTGAATAGAGTTTGTTTTAACCAGTTCTTGGTTTCTTTCAAAAATCATAAAAATTAAAGTTCTACCAGCTGTGTAGAAGAAGGACCAGGACTGGGAAACAAATGAACTTGCTACTTGTTTTAGGCTTGCCCTGCCTCTTCCAGGTAAATGTTAAATCCTGATTTAGCATAATAAACCAAAAAACAATCATTATTTGCAATTGTAATAAGTCTTGCAGAGTTTCACAGAACTAAAACTGTATCTCATGTGCAGATATAGTTTCAATCAGGATAGGAGAAGAAAACAACATGCAGAAATTAAGTGGGAAATATACAAAGGCCATAATTCAGAAATACTGACTAAATAAACATTAAAACATTTACCAGTAGAATTTACCCTTCACCTCTCTGTGTTAATGTGATGTTTTTTAAGCAACTGGGCAATAAATATTACCTTAGTTGCAGAATCAACTGCAGATCCTCTTTCCAGCAATTCCTGAACCAAACCCACATGGCCTTCTTTGGCAGCCAGGTGTAAGGCATTGAGACCATTCTGGAAACAAATAAATTATACCGATTGTTAACATGGAGGTTACATTGGCACTTCAGAAAACGTCTGTCACTCAACCATAGAGTGCATAGTGTGTCTCAACTTCAGTGTAAGTCACGGAGCTGGCAAGGTGGGAGCAGCAATTCCCAAAAACTATTAAATCAACATAAAGCAGGTGTCTTCCAAGGCAATAAAGAGAACAGCCAAATGACCATTGACACAGAAAAGTAGGAATAAAAAGTGTATAATTTTAAACTGCAGAACAGAGCTATATAGAGACCTTGATTTTTGTGACTGGAATAAGACAAATTTTCTATATATGCTTATGTGTCTGCAAAAGAAGAAACAAATCTTGTTTACTTATGTCTGCAAACCTTCTGCCAAGCAACTCATTTTTAAGGGGTTAACTGGAGAGCTGTAGCTTATAGCTATGCCTGATGTGAAACCTGACATTCAGTTCCTGGCAACCTCCAATTAAAATGGTTGCAGTTAGCAGAGATCTCTGAGAACTTCTGGCATTCTCAATAGACAGCATTAAATCAGATATACTAATGGTCCGATTCAGTGCCTATGATTTGTTTATTTTTGGCACAGTGCGCTGTATGAATCCAAACTTTGTGGTTTGTAAATCACATACTATGGCTTAGTGCACTGACTTCCATAAACTACTTATTTAGTTGGCTTACGGCTTATTCAACAAATCTTGACTTAGAATAGTGTGTAAACCCAGACCATTTAAGGCAAATTATGTGTGATATACATTGGCTGCATATATTCTCATATTCCATATCTATGGGTGAATCCATTCTGCACAGCATATTGTCATTTTGATGCAGTTTATAAATTTTAAAATGAGTTGTTTTTTTAAGAGTTCAAATTACCGAAAGCCAAAAAAACTATGAGGGAGGAAATTTACATGGAGAAAGAAGCATATAAGAATAGGTATTTAAAAACAGGCTTATGTTGTGTGATAAAGCATCTGTTGTTTTCTTGAACTGGACCACTACAATTTCTGGAAAATAATCTATTCAGATTAGCTGCTGGGCATTACTGAATCAATACTATCCAGGCAGTGTGGAACTGGCTGCCTGAGAATAAATAGACGGCAAATAGCCTCAGGAAGGTAAGAAGGTAGACAACTGCCTTGTTTTTATGTAGTCTTCTGGGGCTGAGAAAGAATGGAATTCCTGGACAATAGTTTTTGAATATGATTAGATGACCTACACAGAAATAATAGATTTTCTGGAGGCACACATCAAGTGCTTACTTACCTGCCTCATGACATACAGGGAGATTATAAATGTTTGGAAAACCTTTGAAAACTGCCCTGGAATATCAGTTTGAAGTTCAAGTTCATGAGATTTTAGGCCAGGTCAGTATTTTCAAAAAGAAATCCTCAATCACTATGCAAATGAGCTCAGGTTATTGGTGGGAAAGATCTATCTCAATGAGATGTCAAGAACATGGACAGTTTAGGTTTTATTTTGTTTTGTTAAGGGAAAGAAGAGATTGACTTTGAAATGGCATCCACACATCTGTGTTCACATTTCGATGAAATATTATTTCCAAATTAAACATACTTCTCATATGTCCATCAAAGGTACCTTACATAACCATGTCACTGTAAACCCACTGCCAGCTCCCTGTGTTCAAATTTAAATGGCTGGGCTATTTCTTATGCTGTCTGCATACATATGCTATGCTGGACATGTTCATTTTTTATCAGCATGCCAGAAGAAATGTCAAATTTACACGAGGCATTTCTTCCCTTGGAAAAAGGGTCCATATGTTTTTCGTAAATTAAAAATCAAGTAAGATTCAGAAGAAGAGAGAACAGTACAGACAGGCCATATTAGACACATCAATAACAACATCTTTCTAATATGGACAATGTTGTAGAGTGTTAGTAATTTAATTACAAGGTCATTTTAATGGTAACAGCTTTTGGTCAAGAAACAAATGTTTCAGTTTCAGGCCTATGAAAACCATTTGAAGCTGACCTGTGCAGCCAATCTCAGAGTTGAGAACCCTTCATTGTTTCCTCTATCTGACTAATTATAGAGCGTAGAAAACTGTAACAAATCAGTTTCACCCCCTTGTTCACATGATTGTGGTATGTCTGATAATAACTGTGTTCAGTGAGGGTGAACAACAGTCATTGTTCCTCCTTCTGGTTGGCTAAATTTCACTTGGAAGGTGGACTGAAACAGCTTCACCAGCCACCTCAAGCTTTCACCTTGAAATAGCCTAAACAATCCTTGAAATAATTTCTTCGTCTGCACCAAATCCCAAATGAAAGAAGGTTTGACATTAATTGCCAACCTTTTGCTTCTACATATATCATATGCATAACTACTGACATTTATCTACATACACAAGAAGTTCTGGACCATATGGGAGAATCCTACACTGTAGCTGTTTATATCAGTTTGAACCTCATACAGTTAAACTGAGAGGAGCCACAGTGATTTAATTTGGGTTTAATATTAAGCTATGACAAATACATCAGCTTTGAATCTATCTATCTATCTACC